CTATCTAGTCGGCCTTACAAAAAGTTGATGACTCTACATGTTTCGATGTTACAACATCATCCTCAGGTATAGTTACAAGGTAAAATAACAACAACTTACTATTTAAAAAAGTTTCATCTCCTTTTTGTTTTCTGTTAAACAGCATTTATGTAAGATTTTTTTTACTCCAATGAATGACATATTAAGAGGGTTTTCAAATTTGTGAGAAACCTCAAAACAAGATTTCATAGGCAAAATATTCTAATTACAGAGTTGCTAAGTCTCCTACAGATTGAGGGAGACTCCCACATACAAGTTTAATCTCCCTTTCTCCTGCTGATGTGCAAATTTCTCCCACACCACATGACATGAACTCCAAAAATCTATTTATTGTAAAACTTACTAATAAATCCCTATATTCCAGTAAAATGGCATATTTTTTATAATCCTGTTTAACAGATTTTGAAGTTCACATGTTTATGTTTTTACAGTTTTACATAGATTAACACTGGTATAAGCTGCATGAAATGCCACCAGAAAACACATTTTACTTGTATATGCCCCTGGTCCTTCCATGGAGGTTTTGTGCCTTTGGTTCTTGTATCTGTGGCTTCCTCACTGAAATATTTCACTCTTTACCATCACTCTTAAGTTAGAGGATCCTATATCAGTGTCTAACCATTCTTACATGTATTGAAAACCACACACCTACTTCTCTGAAACAGTTATTTAGGTCTATTCCCAATCAAAAATGAGAAATGAAAATTTAGTTATTATCAGATTAGAGATTTCTTATTATAGTGCATTTTTATAAGTTTTTTTTTTTTCATCTTATCTTTATTTGAATAAAATAAATTGACAAATAGCACCCAACAACCACTAAAGATCTAGCCAGTTATGAGAAGCTTAGAAAGACATGGGTATGTTAGGAATCATTAATTTCACATATAATACCACTGATCAAGAAAACTTTGACATATCCAGTGTTCCCATGGAATGGTTTATTACAGGCAGGAATAAACTGGATTCCATACTTATCATTTCATACTTTTGGTATCCCACACCTTCTTCCACCACAGTTATCTTTGCTATTTTTATCACAGTTTTATTCTTCAGCATTTCAGATAAAACAAATTGAATCCAGTGTCTAAAAATTTATTAAACAAAATGCAAGTTATCAGGAAATGGGATTCTAGTGGCTCTGTGATTCCACACATCATACGAGAGTGTAAACAACTATTCCTATCCTAGGGTATTACAAAATAGAAATTTCGTTAGTATACATAGGTTTTACAAATTAAATATTTCAAATGCAAGGAAAATTTTCTCAACACTTCTCTCATTTTCCTTCAGAGATTATTGTTGAGAAGAATATTAAAGCATAGAATTTTGTGAGTAATGCTATACAAGTTTATTAGTAAATTCCAAATAAATGAAAGAAAAGTTTTTGAATATTTAAGATGATTTTTATAGTGAGCTATTTGTCATTCAATATCACTATTAATTAAATCCCCATCTGAATCATTCAAAGAAAAATCCTCTTGTTTTAAAAGCAGTTGAATGCGAGTACTTTTTTAGTTCGTTTTATGTACTGTATTGGCCTGATTATAAGAGGATTTCAAAGATAAGTTGACCCCCATTTTCAGAGACCATGAGAAAGAAGAAAATTGAGTGTCATAACATCCTTTTTTAGGTCTGAAAAATCGATACTATAACTGAACAGCCTGCAGGTGGATTAGTTGCAAGAATTAGTGATGACCTTGAGTGAACATCTGGTGCCCATGCATAGACTGTTGCTATCTGGACATCCAGGAATGTGACAGGCTAGAGTAAGGGAGAAGGGACCTGTGGTCGGCTGCAATTATAAGGCGACTATGAATTTTACAGCCTAATTATTAATAAAAAAAACATTGCCTTATAATCGGGCCAATACGGTATATGAGATGTATTAGCTGTAATTTAATGTAATCTAAGCAATGTCCTATCACTGTTTTATATATATCTTGCTAAGCTTGAATATTTCAAGCATAAATCTTTTATTATTGGTTTTTTTAAATAGTAAATATGCCATTTCAATCACTGGATTTTCTTTAATCGGAAATTGGGATGGGAGTTATGGAGAAGAACTATTTGCCTACCATTTTTTCTTTTTCTTTTTTTCTCGAGATTATCATTATGTATTTCCTCGTTTACGTAACAAGTTTGGTAATTCTTTTCCCTGTTGTTTTATGAAAGGATAGTTTAACATATAGAATTCAAACATAATAGAATCATTTTAGATGATTAAATAGCAGTTGATAAGTAAGTAAAAGAGTGAAATTTTTTATAATATATTTTGTTTGTGAACTATTCTTAGTGATGAATACACAGCATTTACATGTTTTAATATTTTGAACCTGTAACAGAGTCATGTTGCATTAAGTCAGTAGTACACAGTCCTCATATCACACAGAGCATTGATTTTTCTTTTTGTGAAGTTCTAATCACAAAGGATAATCTTGAATAAATAGCTGAAAAATTTATTTTGTATCATGCAAGAAATTTAAGATGCATGTCATTTGGATTGGATTTTTATTAGTGTAACAAAGCATGTGTAACTCAAAATGTTTACATACTTACCATAAATACAGGCTAGAGCCAACCTATTGGATTCAATGATTGCCAGTAGCAGCAGTAACAGCAGCGATGAAGAAAATAATGGTGATGAAGTACAGGAACACCAACACAATCAACGGCTGCATGCTCTTCATAGATTTCGCAGGCAGAAAAAGCGAGGTTTGTTCGTTTGTATGTATATCTCCTTTTTGTTTTCATGTATTTAAAATTCAGTTTGTATGCTTCAAAAATATTCATCTGATTAGAGTTCATCATTTTTGTTATTTAACATGTGTGTATGTATGTGTGTGTGTATATATATATGTATATAT